TCACATTTGCTATTAGATATAGGTCCAATTTTTTTTCTCCATAGAATAAGCCAGTTTTCCCAACACTATATACTAAAGAGGCCATGCATTCCCATTATTTTGTGGTGTAAATTTTAAGTTTCCATATATACACAGGGTCTATTCAAAATATCTCTATTTTACTGCATTGGTTTGTTTGATTTAGACATACATTATACTGCTTTTATTGCTTTGGCCTTCTAATATATCTTAATATCTGATAATATAAGGCCCCTCATTGTTCTTTTTTATCAAAGTTAACCTGGCCTTTTATAGAGTTTTATCATTTTATAAAAATTTTATAATTTTAGAATAATCAAATTGCTCAAAATATCCAGATGAAATTTTTATTGAAATTTTACGGAATTTACGGATTAATTGTAAAGGTGCAGGGGTGATGAGTCCTCCCATATCCCCCATTCAACTCACCTGTTTGGCCTGTACAGAAGACAGCTGTGTCTTGGAGAATGACAGCTGCAACTGCTGCTCCAGATGTGGTTCTGTTTGATGGAGCAAATCAGCTTACTCTTAGTACCTGACATGGTAGTTTTTGATCTGACAGATGACTTTTTCCCGCTATTTCTGTTGCTGGAGACCACCAGAAGCATTTGCAATTCACTTTCACTGTCCTACCTAAGGTCTATAGCAACTCTCCAGCCCTCCATCGTATAACCACAGGAACTTTGGTCACCTTCTCCATTCCACAGGACATCATACTGGTCCACTATATCAATGGCATCACACTGATCAGACCTGTTAAACAGAAAGTAGCAACTCTAGACACCTTGGTAGAACACATGCATGCCAGAGGGTGGTAAATAAATCCAATCTCAGTGAAATTTCTGGGGGTCCAATGTTCTTGGGCAAGTCAAAATATATCCTCCAAGGTGAAGGACAGGTTTTAGAGTAAAGCAATGCCTTCCTTAGTAGAGACTGAACACTTGATCATGGCCCACCAAGTTACATGTGATCTGAACTGTCAATCATAATGTGGTATTATTTGACTCAGTAAACCAAATTTGGCATGCAGAGCGGCACTCCATTATCATTCCCTGTAATGCACAGAGGAGCAGAGGAAAGATGACGAATGGATCTAAGGGCAAACAAGCCAGGTCAGCACAACATGAAAAAGATTTCTCTTTTTTTTTGTTGTTGTTTTGTTTTGTTTTGTTTTTGAGGAAGATTAGCCCTGAGCTAACACCTGCTGCCAATCCTCCTCTTTTTACTGAGAAAGACTGGCCCTGAGCTAACATCTGTGCCCATCTTCCTCCACTTTATATGTGGGATGCCTACCACAGCATGGCTTGCCATGCGGTGCCATGTCTACACCCGGGATCCAAACCGGCAAACCCTGGGCTGCCGAAGCAGAACGTGTGCACTTAACCGCTGCACCACCTGGCTGGCCCTAAGATTTCCCTTCTATAAATCAAAGAGAATATGATGGGTCTGTGAGAGATGATGGAATAAAGAATTTCTTCCAAATAGGATACAAATGAGAGGTACTAAAGAGTGTACATTCATCCCTCAATGACTCTATATATTTGCCTGTTTTTCCATGTGAAAGAAGAGGAAGGTCAAGTCTAAGAAATCACCTACTTTTGAATGAAGAATGAACTTAGACAGGGAAAAGCATAAGTGTCCAAGGGAAGTGTGGCATGCCATGAAAAGTGGTCAGGCAAGTGGGTCCCTAGGCAGAGAAACAGTCAGGCAGGTGGGTCTTGTGGAAAACAGCATCTTCAGACACATGCAGGGCTATGGACTGTTTCGCTATAGTCTGAAATTAGAGAAAAGTGAACTGATTGATCTCAGGGCCACACATTCTGTCTCTGATGGAGATTCTGCAGCTCTGTGGTGCTTGGGTAAGGAGTAATTGATAGTAACTACTATGATTTCCCTGAAGAATGAAAGAAAGTGTTTTGATTTGGGTAAAAACTAAAGCTTTGACAACTCAACTGCAGGTTCCTGTGACAAGGTCCAATACCACCGCAGTACATCTCAGAACTTCAACACCTTCTAACTCAAGCGTTGAGTCAAAGCTCAAGGTAAGGTTAACTCTCTTCATTGGGCTGGCCTGGCAGAGGAGGTGACCTGTTTGTGGAGGGAGGGCAGAAGGCCCCGAAAAAGAGAGATTTCTTTAACTAGAGCTCTCCCAGACTGATGTCTCCTAAAGGGAGATTTGAGTAATGGTCTTTGTGACCCACAGTCTATGAGTTCTGTGTTCTAGTGCTGAGGACACAACATGTTTCTCACCAGAAACCTGAGCCTCATTGTCATGGTAAGGTGTTTGAATCTTCTCTAGATCTTATCTCACCTCCTCTTCTGTTAGCCTGATACTAGTAGTCCATGGAGGAGAGTTCAGGGACCAGATTCTTCCAAATATGAGACCTAGTTTCACCCCAACTTCTGCAGAAATGACAGAGTTCTGGGGCAAGGCTGAAACAAGCCCCAAGAGCTTCACATTCTGGGAAGAGGAAAAAAAGACTCTGGGTGTAGTGATGTCAGGGAGAGAATATGAAGCTCACAGGCTATGGAAAGAGAGTCAATAATCCCAGATTCACGTAAAGAGTGTCAGAGGGACCAGTCTACCGGACTGGGGCTGGGAAGAGGGGGACAGATATTTGTTTCTTCTTTTCTGTTTTGATCTTATAAATGGGGCTCTGTTTGAAAGTGGCTAAGTCCTAGTCATTCCTCTATTTCCCATTGGTGCATAGAACTGGGGCAGTTATCATGATATTTCAGTAATCTCAAGATTTATAATTCCTCCACTTCCCTATATCTTTGTTCTTTCCAATTGATCAAACCACCAAGAATTTACTGTAATTATGGGGTGTCCATCAGCTGACCATAGAGGCTGTGAGGATGTGAGAAATTATCCCTTCTGATGCCAACCTGGAAAACAGCTAAGAGCCACAGTTCACAAACCTGGAACAAATAGCAGAGAGAAAGACTGTACAGACTGGAGCAGAGAGAAGACAATGTCATGGAGACACTTGAGGTGCTTGGTCTTGAGATAAGTGTAGAAACATGAAAAGAAAGAGGGATTTATGAGCTTCAGGGCTGTCCTTCAAAGGAGGGTTAATATCTTCCAGTACCCTCCCTCAGATCTACCCATTGAGACCCCATACGTGTGTCCAATGATGTCACTGTAGTCGCCCACCTTTACCTTCCTGGGGAAATCAGAGTTCTATATACGGAAGCCACATGTTCATAAGCAAGAAGGTAGGGATTCAGACCCCTCTACAGAAATATGTTCAAAATTGACTCCCATTTTGTGTAATGGATATGCAGCTCAGATCATCTGCCAGATATGAAGGACATATTCCCCCAGTTGCTGGGATTTCTGCTGACAGATAGCCCTCAGTCATCAGCCTTCTTGGGAAAGTACCTTGTCTACTTCATCCAAGATCACTCTCCTTTTCCACAGCAATATATCCAGTGGCTGGTCAACACTGGGGTGTAAAAGCAGGGCCCCTTCACCTCAACTCAGGACCATTTTGAGACACTACCCCAGCCTCAGACTGTCTGTGGGCTTGGCTGAGATCTTTGTGGAAATTGCTTCAAAGTCCAGCTTCAGGTTCTCCCTCCATACAAGCTTGCTCTCTTCCCTTTGACAATTTTTGATACAAAGACCACGCCCTATAATTTTCCTACATGATAATTTCCATGTCGAGGTCTTCTTTCCAGGAAACCCAATCTGTGACATCTTGTATTCACCCAGTGATCCCCATATCTAGAGTGACCACTGAGTCCCATCCCATTCCCCTCCCCAGAGCAGGGGTGAGAGATTGAGAGAAGCTTGTCCTGTCTGCTCAGTGTCTATGGTCTCAAGGGATGCCACATTCTCCTGTTGGAGAATGGGCAGAGAAAAGGTCTGGGAAGGAGCACTCAACATTTCCAGAGAGTGAACTGTTGATCCCTATTGTGAGAGACAATGATGCTGTGCAGCTGGGAACAGCAATGGACATATTTTTAGTAGGTGGGTAAGTATCACTATGAGAAGTACATTTATATTCATTCATCTCAACCAGCAATTTCCAAACTAGAGTCAATGTCCCCAGACAGGCCTTGAGAATATTTCAAGTAGGATCCAGAGATCAGTCTTACCGAAGACAATTAGCTACTTTATGTGGCAGAACCTGTGAAATATCTTGCTAGCTCCTTGGCACTGCTGCCATTATTAGTGGTGGTGGTAATAAAGGTATTGAAGAGCACTGGGAAGGTCGTCCTGGGAAGTTATGGAAATCTAGGCCTCAGGATGGTGGTACAGAAGAATGTTGTCCAAAATTCCTCTTAACAGCTCTAGAGGTGATGCCTCTGAATGTAAGATCAGGACTGTGGGGATGTTGGATATTAGGAATTGGTTGTTTACCTACTTACGCCCTCCTCGGTAGATGGAGAGATAGTAGGGGATATTTGTGGAAGCAGCAGGGACCTTCTCAGACAGCCCTTTTGTCTGTCATTTCCAGGGTCTCACTCTGTCATAACACTCAGGGCTCCCAGGGTCCAGACTGACATGGGGATCACGATGGAGCTTCACTGCAAAGATTAAAGAGACTCTCCTACATTCTTGTGTCAGTTTTATCATGAGAATGTCACCCTGGGGAACATCTCAGTACCATCAACTTCTCTCTGACCACAGAGCCTTCTGGGAACTTCTCCTGTGAGGCCGATAATGGACCCTGGGCACTGAGGCACACTGAGGCACTGACACTGTTTGTCACTGATTGTATATTCCTGGGCAGTGGGCTACAAGCCACTAGTCTGACACCTAATTTCTACCCTCATGGCTCAGAACTATTTCTGATTCCAGAGCCTGTGACAGTACCTCTGAGCTACCTGGGTGTGGGATATCCAAGAACAGGATTTCTCAGCATAATGGTTCTACTCTGTGCTCTCAAAAAGCTTTGACAGCTACGCTTCCTGTGTCATTGGGTCTCAACTAAAGGAACAGAACCACCAGGCAATATATATAATAAGGAGTTTTATTGAAGACATTTCTCATTACACAGTTGTGGGAACTGGATAAACAGTCTACGGTACTGTTAAAGACTGTCTGGTTAGACAGCCTTCTGTGTCTGGTGCAGCAGGCTGAAGTCTGAAGAGCAGGCAGCTGGGAGAAGCAAGGAGAATCTGGCAACTGCAAGAATGAGAGGAACCTATGAGGATGAGCTGGGACCTGCATTAGCCTCTCAGCACCTCCAGCCAACCACTTCGATAATGAGGCTTCCCTGCAGGAGAAGGTTCCACCCTTCGTCGCTAAGCTAAACATGAGGAGACCCAGGAATCAGAGAAGCTGAAGGAGAAGATCCAGCAGGAGCTGGAGTTGCTGCAGGCTGCTGCCCCACACCGGCAAAGTGAACCAGCAAATAAGCTACAGAGAGAATCGGAACAGGGGCTCAGGTATTGCTACGACCCTCTGAGCAAAAAGAGAAGAGAGCTGCTACTTTACTTCCACCTTCCAAATCTTGTGCAAATATCTCTTGGGGCCCCGCACTTACCTAGAACTACGCAGGGGAGGGGATTCTGGGAAATGTAGTTCCCGCTTACCTAAATTGACATAATCCAAGTCTACCACGCTTCCCATCCTACCGCACTCCTCCTAAACTGGGAGGAAGCATGATATGATGGCAATATCGTGAACTTTTTTAGTCAGACAGACCTGGGTTCAAAATCTCACTGTACCAGATATGTGTCTTTGGGGAAGTTTTCCAATCTTGTGGAGTCTTTCACCTTCCTCTTCTATAATATGAGCATGTTGACTTCTATTTTGTTAAATGAGAATTAGGCTTGAAGGTGACGGTGTAAAGTGCCCTTACTAAGCATTGGTTCTCTTTCTTTTCCACAAATTATTGACTCTCCTAGAAGCTACTAGAGTCAGAATAAAATAATATCTTTATTGCTCAATCCACACCTGTCACCCTTACCTTCTGACCACTTCTCAGGGCTTCACCGCATTCTGGGGGACAAGAGAAGGAGCATGTCCTGTATCACACGAAAGTCCTACCCAAGCCCGGGACCTGCCAAATGCAGTCCTCAAGCCAACCCAAAACACCCTTCTAAGTCTGTGTTTCACAGTCTCCCGTGCCTGTGGATTTCCCGGCATGGCTGGGCCTCTGCTGCCTGAGGGAGTTTCACACATGCAGTCTGTTTCCCCCAGCTTTTGGTGGATGTGCATTCTTGAGGTTGTTGGCTCTCAACCTTGGCTGCGCATTGGAATCACTGAGGAACTTTAAAAAGTACTGATGCCTGAGTAACATTCTAAATTCTCCAGGAGTCTGGGGTGATGCCTGGGAATCAAGGTTTTTTAAATTCAAATTAGTCCCCAGGTGGTTCTAATGTTCAGAAAAACTGAAAACTACTGCTTTAAATCTTTCAGGGCCCCATATTGATTGCTGACCCCAAGAGGGATTGTGGCCTCATTCATTATGATCAACCTCTCTGCTTCTGATAGATAATCTGATTTTCTTTGAATCCAGGAGAAAGAGTGATGAGTAAATCATATTTGGTCTTGTATTACTTTGCTAGGACTGCCATAACAAAGTATCATAGACTGAGTGGTTTAAAGAATAGAAATCTATTTTCTCACAATTCTGAAGGCGGAAAATCCAAGATCAAGGTGTTGCCAGGGTTGATTTCTTCTGAGACCTCTCTCCTTGCCTTGTAGATGGCCATCTTCTCCCTCTGTCTTCAGATGGTCTTCCCTCCGTACAGGTTTGTGTCCAAATTTCCTCTTCCTATAAGGACATCAGTCATATTGGATTAGGGCCCACCCTAACAATCTCACTTTAACTTAATCACCTCTTTAAAAACCTTATCTCTAAATAGTCACATTCTGAGGTACTGGGGGTTAGGACTTCAACACACAGATTTTTGAAGCATGCGATGCAGCTCATGACGTTTCCTCTGTTATCTGTTCTTTGTTGGTTTAAAGCTTTCTCATGACCACCTAATGTCTAACCACAATGGCTGATATGAGTCCCCATTCTTTCCTTCTCTGCAGTGATTGACTTAGTTTTCAACCTCCTCTTTCTGGTAAATCTCTCCCAAGATCCCACAACACTCTCAGGGCTCCATCTTTCTCTGACCCCACATTTGCTCTCTCCTTTGTGGACTACTTTGTTCTTCTGCATTGATCCTTTCTCAGGACCTTATTCTTCCCTCTGGCCTTTCTACTCTTAAGAATGCCATGACTGTCAGAGCTTTAACTATGGCTTTTATGCAAATAATTCATAAATCTGTATTTCTTAACTTCTCTCCTGAGCTCTAGTTTCAAAGGATTGTTCCACTACCAGAAATTTCTGTTTAGGCCTTCCACCGTCACCTCAACTCAACCCATCTAAAATCAAAAATCTCTTCTTCCACAGAACTAGCTCCCGCTCTCTTGTCCTATTTCTGTCTCAGATTTCAACATTCTCTCATCTGCCCCAGCTGCCATCTCTGAGTCATTTCTGTCTTTCCTATTTCCTTGCCTTCAATCAATAAGGACAACATTTATCACTGCCTCCTTACTTTAGACTCTTTAGACTCTTGTGAACTTTCCTTCATCACATTTCTCCCCTCTTTCCTATATCATTGTCACTCCTAGAAGAGTGTTACATCAGCACAGAAGCTGAGGCTCTCTCTTAGGAGATCAGTGAGTCTGCCAGTGGTCTCTGATAGCTCAAATCTGTGAGCTTTGAGCCCCACTGACTCACAGGACACAGTCCCTATGCGTCACAGTGCCACGAACCTCCACTCTTGACACACAACTGAACATGAACACTTCCACGCTGTATGAGAAAGGGCACTCATGTATGTTGAGGTGAGAGTTGATTGAAACTCTGTCTTCCAAGTGATCAGATATCTAACCCACACCCCTCAATCTTCTTGAGAATTTACACTCTCACAGAGTAGGTTTCAGTGAGCAGGCAAGAAAAATAATTCTCAAAATATCTCTCTCTCTCCCTTTCCTCACACTGGATGGTAAAAACAAGCAACCAGATACTAAGTAGAGGAGATTTGTCCTGAAAGGGCACCTCGTTTCTCAGTTTTACAAAGGTCACAGTAGGTTAAGCTGCCTTTTATATTAGGTTGACCATAAATACCTACCAGTGGCTGCTGCTCTTAGATATGGGAGCTGCCCTGAAAGGATCTGGCCCCTCCCTGTGCAAAAGGAGGAAATATGTCTTCTTCAACAGATTCTTGTTTCTCATAACTTTGCAAGGAGTCCCCACCTGAATAGATACCCAAAAGGAGAACAATGTTTTCACTGCTAAAATTCTGCTAGAATGTTCAGAACTGACTTGTCAACTGCAATCCCTTTGGAGGTGTTGTTATTAAAGTTCTATTATATAACATGCGCGACCTTAGGTATAAAGGGAGAAAGATGAGTCAGACATGGTTTTTCACTTTGAGGGAATTTCACAATCCAGTGTGAGACACGTATGTGGAAAGACTCCTCTTTAAATCCAGTGTTCTGACAGAAGTATAATCTATCATTATAGACGGTAAATTTTATTTTGAGGTTCTTTAAAATTGCTAATAGCTCCCTGACAGGCTTATTGTGTGCTCACACTGAGATAAGCAACTTTACCAGCATTATCACATTTAACCCTCAGAACAACCTTCTAAGAAAGCTTACGTCCTCTCCACTTATAAATTAAGAGATAGGTAACCTGCTCAGTCTTCTCTTTTTTGAGGAAGATCAGCCCTGAGCTAACATCTGCTGCCAATCCTCCTCTTTTTGCTGAGAAAGACTGGCCCTGAGCTAACATCCGTGCCCATCTTCCTCTACTTTATATGTGGGATGCCTACCACAGCATGGCTCGCCAAAGGGTGCCATGTCTGCACCTGGGATCCAAACCAGGGAATCCTGGGCCGCAGAAGCAGAACATGCAAACTTAGCTGCTGCACCACCACGTCGGCCCCTCAAAGTCTTCTGATGAGAGATGGTGGGCTAGGGTTCACATTAAGGTCTGTCTCCCCACTGGTAACCACCGCTCTCTATGGCCTCCTCAAAAGGTACATTCAAATTGGGCAGGATACGTAAAAGTTCAGTAGATGGTAAATAAGGAACAGGCCAGGAACACTTTGAATTGTCAGGAGAAAAAGCCACAGAAATATGAAAACTCACAATGAATTGTGTGTCCCCTCCAAATCCATATATTGAGGTCCTAACTCTCAATGTATTTGGAGATGGGATCTTTAAGGAGGCAATAAAGGTTAAATGAGATCATAAGGGTGGAGCCTTAATCCAGTAGAACTATTGTCCTTATAAGAAGAGGAACAGGCACCTGGAGTGTGCTCACCCACAGGAAAGACCATGTGAGGACACGTGAATAGGTGGCCATCTACAAGCCAGGAAGAGAGGCCTCACCAGAAACCAACTCTGCTGGCACTCTGATCTTGAACTTCCAGCTTTCAGATCTGTGCAAAAATAATTTCTGTGTTTAAGCGACCCAGTCTGTGGTATTCTGTTACAGCAGCCCAAGCTCGCTAACATAGAGATCAATGCGTAAGTGATACAGACACATTGGAATAGCAAGTTGGAACTTGACTATAAAGGGCATGAATGCTCCCATAAGGAGCTGTTTATTTTGTTGGTAACAGGAAGCCACTGAAGGGTGATGAGAAGATAAGAAACACTATTCATCCTGTTTTATGAAGACCTGATTGGTGGGTGTATGGAGGAGTGTCCGAATGGTAGACAGACTTATGAGGAGTTTGGAACATGGAAAACACACTTCTCACACCCCACACCTATTCCAAGCCCAGGCCAACACTGCAGAGTCCATAAGTCCTGATCACAGTCATTGTACCTTAACCCACATTTCCCCATGGGAGGAAGACACCAGCACAGTGCACATTTGGAAGACCCCCTGATTTGCTGGGTGGTCAGGCATCTAACTTCAACTTTGGTCCAGCTTTGGGATGGGTCAGCAAAAGGAGAGCACCATAATCCCCTTTTCATAACTAAGAGGCAGGAACCCCTGCAGATTTTACTTGTGCATTGTGGTTTTAATCAAAGCAATTGACCTATCAGGTGTATGAGACATCTTGGGGAGAATTGACCCCGCTGAGAAGTTCATATACATCTTTCATGACTGAAAGGGAGATACCAGGCAGCTTTTCTGTAACTGCCAGAATCCAAAAGGGGCATCATCCTACCCCACTTTTGTTCACACAAATGTCACAGCAGAGCTCTGTACAACTTCATGAGGATGATTCAGAGAGCAGTACAATTTTCAAGTCAGACAAGGGTCAGGTCAACCAGAAACTCTAAAAACAGCAGCCAGAGTTCCCATTGCCCATTCAAGGCTTTCCATGTGCAGCTGATTGTTCAGCTGTCGTTCAGAAACAGGCTGAAAGTGTCACTTTTGGCTGGACTCTGAAAGCCAGGACCCAGAGGTCCTCCATTATGGTGCTGTCCTCCTCCAGCACATCACTATTGAGGGTTCCTATGGCCACAAGACCTAGCAACGCACATCTGATCTACTGAAGTTACAGGAAAAGATTATAGCCCATGCAAGTAACAACCATTTTGATAAAGAAATAACAAAGAGATTCCAAACATGCCAGCAGATCCAAAGGGAAGACATTTTCATGGAATCTGAATATTGAAGCTAGCAGGAATCTCAGAGATCAGCTTCATCAAGGATCCCCACCTCTGTGGGTAGAAAGATAATGCTCATCTTAAAGCATCATGAGAGATCACAGGGGCTGCTGAAATGTGCAAAGAGGAGAGAAAAAGATGTATGGGGGGGTGGGCTTCTGAAGTCAGTGGAGCCTCCCCAAGATGGACCTTTTGAGTTGCCAGGTGGATCTGAGGGTGTTAATATCATGGTGGCTACCAGCCCACAATACCGCCTTCAAGGACCCTCGATCAAGTCCGACCTCTTCCCTTCCTAGATGAACAGAACTGAGGACCAGAGAGATGAAGCAACTCTCTCAAGCTTGATGAGCAGGGTCAGCACTAGCTCCAGTAACATCTCACACTTCTTTCTAGCATTTAGATTACTTTCAACTGTTTAATTACGTATACATTTTTTACCATGTAGATTTTAAGTTCCGTACAGGTACTATCACATCTATCTTCACCACACCATCCCCAGCACCTGACAGAGTCCCTGGAACATAGCAGAATGCTCAATGAACATTTGTTGACATTCTCGCTGGAGTGTGAACTTCATGAAGACAAGAATAACAGCCAACAAGTAATGAGAGCTTGTGTGTGCCAGGCAGCGTTCAAAGCACTTTATTTGTGTTAGTTTATTTAACCCTCAGAATAACTCTGAGCCGGTGCTCTTATCATCTTTTCCATCTGAGAGAGGAAGACAACACACCCCACAGAGATTAAGTAAACTGCCCAGGATCACACAGGAAGTGGCAGACCTGAGTCTCTAACCCAAGCAATGTATTTCAGATCTCACTCTCTTATTTCACTACAAAATACTGCCTCTCCATTCAAGTCTTCTGTATCCCCAGCCCTAGAAAAGTGCCAAAATGTAGACAGCATTCAATACATATTTTTAGAATAAATGCCGCACCAACAGACAAGAACCCAAGTCTAAGATTCTTCCAGCATCAAGTAGTCTCGCTGATTGCACCACACAGGTGGCCATTGTCCCAGCTCTGAATAAAGCACTCTGGATCCCCTCTGGCTGAAAGGAAGGGCTAATTTTGTTCTTTCTTATTCTGGCTGAGCATCTGTCCTCATCTGCCCGTTCTTTCAAAGCCTAAAAAGTTTGTTAGGAAAGAGTGCCCTCTGGTGACAAGGACAAGCTCTTATTTTGTCACTCCCTTCAGCATTGCAGTGTGATCTGTGAGAAAGATTCACCCCTGAGTCGTTTGGACATTCCCCCTCTTGCTGGGACATCCAGATTAAATTTAAGACCAAGCCAGAGGGAGAACTGAGTCACTAGGTGACCAGAGCCCTGTAGCCCTGTGTCCGGTTGCCTGTCAGCTCCCTCAGCTGAGGTGCCCTTTGGCCATCCTCCACCCCTCCCTGTCCTCCCCACCACAGGGTCCATGTAGAAAGGTCCCACACCAATTACATCACCCTGTTATCCATACAGGACCCTTGGTTTTCCTGACTGCTGATTTTTCTGAGATCCTCTCTCTGAATCCTCTCTCCTTCCCAGCTTCTCACCATTCTCACTTATGTCTCAGTAAGTATCATGTTTTTCTTGCTGTCACAGGGGCCCACCCAGCCTGGGATAGCTCCCAAGGACCACCTATTCCATTCTTCCTGCTCCAGTGGGGCTGGAGCCATTGTGTGACAATGATAATGGTTTCCTTTGGGTTAAACTTCCAGAACTGGACCCAAGGAGAAAGGAGAGATGTGGGGAAAGCATCATGAGGAGAGAACTGGAGGGTTCTCCTCACTGCTTCACCCACTGTTGAGGTTCCAAGGACAAGAATAGTGATAAGTTATATGGTGACATTCATTCGAGTTGATGTCTCTCTCTCTCTTTTTATTTGGTGAGGAAAATTGGCCCTGAGCTAACATCTGTTGTCAATCTTCCTCTATTTTGTATGTGGGACAGTGCCACAGCATGGCTTGATGAGTAGTGCATAGGTCCACAACTGGGATCCGAACTCGCGAACCCTGGGCCGCTGAAGTGGAGCATGCGAACTTAACCACTACACCACTGGGCCAGCCCCTGATTTTCCTTTCAGAAATGCTGTGAAAAAAGAATCAAGGGGGCAGTGGTAAAAAAGAGAGATAGATTGACAAATATAGACAAACCAGAGACTTAGGCATTAATGATCCCAAGAAGGAGACACTAATGAAAGTTCCCAGTCATCCAGAAATCGTGGCACCAGTGCTAGATTTCAGGATGCTCAAAACCATGGCCTTGGATGTGTCTCTGATTCCTGTACAAAAAGATTTGGAGAAAGGGTCCAATGAGAGAGTCTGCCAGCCAGGCTGAGGAAGATGTGAGATGAGGATATGTTGCAGCCAGGGGAAAGTGCCTTCACTATTTATACTCCATTGTGTAAAGCAATAGAAAATTTAATTACCTGGAATTCTGGAAGGTGCTGTTGGTTGCGAGAAAAATTGCAATAGTGTATGTGAGCAGGACGAACTATACCTCTCAGGGTATAGGGTGCAGCAATAAAGTGTCACAGGACTGAAGGGGAGGGTGTGTGTGTGTGGTGTGTGTGTGTGAGATCAACAAGAGAGAAACCTATAGTAGGGAGATACCCAGAAGGGCAGAGAAGTACACAGGAGAGGCCAGTGGACTCAGGGAGAAGGAGAGTCTGTGGAAAAGAGAGAGAAGGAGAGGAGAGAGTTTGTTCTGGACTCATGAAGGAGAGAGACTGAAGCTAAGAGGGGTGTCTAAAGAGGATGCCATATAAGGACATATGCCTCCTAGTTAAACGTTTGAAATGCTTTCAATTGTACTTTTCCACCAGATTGCTATTTTTTTAATGTGACTTTGTCTAGAAATTGGCTCAAAAAGCAATATTCTCGTCACATTTTGTGTGGCTACCTCCTCCCTTGTGCCCTAAGGATATACACTCTGGACCAAGGGCCCTTCGTGGAGCCCCATGACAGTGCCAGATGTGCTAACTTGTGAAGACCTAACTCTGTAACCGACTTACAGGGTACAATTAAGTCAATCTGACTGAGTTGTAGTTTTGTGTACAACTGTTTCTGGGCTGCCTGCCATTATACAAGCATGGTTAACATGCTTCAGGGTAAACATTTATTGAGCACCTGCTGAATGCCAGGCACTGGGTGCTCAATGCCACGTATCTCATTTGGGCCTCAGATCAATGGACCATGGCCTGGAATTGGAGCCCACTAAGTGCCACTCTAGCAGAATTCCTGCTAAATAAGAAAGTCAACAGAGTCTACGTCATTCAAGGGTCCTTTCCAACAACCCATGTCTCCTGATTCCAGCCTTTCTCTCTGCCTTTAGCTACAAAAGACGTTTCTGAAAAAGTGTTCTAAGGGAAGGGACCTGGTTTTATGACGTTTTGCTTACTTAAAACCAATGCATTAGTGCATGAGAATATAAGATAGATGGATTTTCATGTAACATTGTCTGCAGTAGAGAAGAACTAGAAGCAATTAAATGTCCACCATTAGGAGACTGATTAAATATGTCAGCATACATCAATACAATTAAATGTTAAACAGTTTCTAAAGATTTGTGCTGGTTGGGAGGAAGAGGTTTACCCATTGCTAAAGAACACAGGCACATTCCAGTTCCCCAAGCTTTCTTAAGACACTCAATAACAATAAGGAAAGGCAAAAGCTTAAAAAGGAAGAAGAGGAAGAAGCTTTCTTGTTCTACTAGGTAGTTCTAAAAGTCCTGCTTTATGAAATTAGTTACACACATAAGAGAAGAAGAAAGAAAAATGTGTGAGGAAAAATAAAATACATTTAAAATAAAAAAAAGTGGATCTATGTATAATGACAAAGAAATAGGCCCAAGATATAGTATCTTGCTTAGCAAGGAATGCCAATGGCAGAACAGTATGTGTAAAATAATCCCATTTGCCTAATAAAGTTATATATATGAACTGTCTTTAAATTTCAGCTCAGCCTCCAAAGTTGAAAACAATAGATAATAAAGACCCCTACATTCTAAAGGGAAGTGCCAAACATAACTTGCTGAACTTATGGAAAGATGGCAAAAGCTGTCCTGCAGCCCTCATCCGGTTGCCAACCCCCACCCTTTGGAGAAGAGCAGGAATTTAAAGCGAGGTTTAGGTTACTCATATAGGGTCCTCATACAGGAATAGGGTCCTGTGATGCTTTTCTTTCCCCCTAAAACAAGGCAAGAGATGAAAGTCCAAGAAAATAATTCACAAAGATTGGGAGTTCCTACAGGAAAGGGAGACTGGCTACTCACTCCCTGGCTGAACATTTGCTGACCTGTAGCAACTCATAGGTGCCCCACAGCATAACATGGTGAGAATTCTGGGCAAGCGATGGCTGCCTATTTACCACTGGCTGGAGCTGGACATGATGGAGGGCAAGGAGAGAGGGGTCAGTGGTTGGACAAACTCCACCTCTGCCATTCAGTGGGGCAAGGATGTCTCCTGTAAGTTTCCTGTGAGCCCAGTGGATGCTATGGAAAGTAGCCATACTAGAACCATTGTGATGTGATCCCACTCAACAAGGTTGCCTGCTGGGGTGAGGGGACTCCACCAGAAAGAGGCTGTGGAATTTACCTGTAGGGGGAGGACTTGAGTGAGGGTTACAGGAGGTCAATCAGCAGAAACTAGGCAGTAAGGAGGTCCCCTATGACGGCTCTCCCAAGAACTTGCTGCCATGCTAGAGGATATGTAGGTTAACCACATCAGCCAAGAGAGCGCTATAAAGAGCAGCCACTAAATAAAAAGAACTTTATCCATCTTCCTCTGCCCCTAGGGGAGGAGATAGGAGAATAATGACCCCTTCCCACTGCAGGTTTCTGAGCCACAGGTCAAGCCTATGATTGGGGGATGAGAGAAGCTGTGAACTGGATGTGACATTTAAGTTTTAAATTGAACTGGATGAGACTATTTTTTCAACGACTGGAAATGACCAGAAAGCTTTTGTGTCTGCTCAAGCCAGTCTTCAGGGGCAAGTCAGAGATGCTGTATAACATGATGAATGGCAGCAGCAGAGGTAGGAGAAAAATAGAGTCACTTCTTGTTTCAAGTCCAGTCCATTCAATAAACCTGGATATATATGTATATAATATATATGTTATATATATAATACTTCTTCTATATCCACAAAAGAGATCTAGAGAGACACAAAAGAATATAAAAGTGGATATCTCTGCAACTGGAAGGGATAAATGGAGCAAGACTGACTTTTCAGTTTTTGCTTGTCTTATGTTGCTCAAATGTTTCATGACAAGCTTATATCACTTTTATAATTTAAAGAATTCATTTTCTAAAAATGTGGGCATGCTAACCAAAATGCCAAGCCCAGAATCCTGCAGTCTTCCCGTCAGTTCGTGACTTTTAGGCGAAGGATTTGTTCAGCGAGGTGCTGGTAAACCTCTGGCTTGCTGCAGGAGAAAACAGTATCCTGATCTCTAGTGTTCGCCAATTTCTGTGGAGTGAACACTCCAACCACAGTTGATTTCAAACTACCAACAGTTTGACATGTGGCTCACCGAATTCCTGGCTATTTAACAATGGGCTTAATCCAGCTCCGACACACCAGAAGAGCACCACATGGCAGGTGGTGACCAGTGTCCTTCCCTGGACGTCCATCTCCAAGGTCTGTTAATTACCAGCTGACTGGTAAGCCAGCTTCTGCCCAGGAGTAATGAATGGTTACCAGTTTCAAGAGCAAAATGTCAAGGCATTCCAGCAGGCCAGCCCTCTGACCCCAGCAAGCTGCTCATTTGAGCCAAGTAGGAGATTCTAGGAGGGTTGGGAGGGCGTTAACGGGCAGAAGAGCCTGTCAGAAGAAACAGAGGAGCAGAGCAAAACCAAATCTCAGACATCAGTGACCTTTTGCAGCTGTAGAGCTCCTCCAGAGCAAGGATGAGAAAAACGTTGGAAAACCACAAAGTTGACTATTTACTTCAACATGCTGCTCTCTAATAAAGATAGTAATGGTAGCTATAATAATAACAATTATGGAATGCTTACTCTGGGTTATGTGTTTACTATGCGCTAGAACAGTGTATATGGAGCCCCTCATTTACTCCTCACAGCAATCACACAAGATAAGAACTCATTATTTCCAGTCTACAACTCTACAGGAGAGGAAACTGAGACTTAGATAGTTTAAACAGCCTGCCCAAGGTTCTCATGCTAGTTATTGGTAAAACCGAGACTCTGATGTTTTATTCCAAAGGAAAGCTACATTTCTTCACAGCTGCACTAAACCTCCTCTCAGAGGGAGGCAGAGTCCCCCAACAGCAAACCAGGATCCACTGGTAGATGTTGAAGTCTGACCTGACAATGTCCACATCTAGTTGCCACCTCCCTGTCTCCACTCAAGAAAAGAGTGTTCCATCTGGCTGCATTTGCTTCTTGGGATAGAGCAGACTAAAGGCACCTTCTTACTCAGCTATGTGAGTTTTGGAGATATCATTTTTTTAAAAAGATTTTATTCTTTTCCTTTTTCTCTCCAAAGCCACCCGGTACACAGCTATATATTCTTAGTTGTGGGTCCTTCTAGTTGTGGCATGTGGGATGCCGCCTCAGCATGGCCTGAGCCCAGAATGCCATGTCCGTGCCCAGGATTCCAACCAGCGAAACTCTGGGCCACCACAGCAGAGCATGCGAACCCAACCACTCAGCCACGGGGACGGCCCCAATGGGCATATCATTTTCTCTCTCCTAATCTTGGTCTGTCACTTTTAAAAATAGAGAATTAAGGGGCCGGCCCAGTAGCAAAGTGGTTAAGTTTGCGCACTCTGCATCTGCAGCCTGGGGTTCACAGGTTTGGATCCTGGGCGTGAACATACACACCACTTATCCAGCTATGCTGTGGCAGGCATCCTACATATAAAGTAGAGGAAGGTGGGCATGGATGTTAGCTCAAGGCCACTCTTCCTCAGCAAAAAAAAAAAAAAAAAAAAAAAGAGGAGGATTGGCAGCGGATGTTAGCTCAGGGCTAATCTTCCTCAAAAAACAGAGAATTAAATCAAACAACCTCTAAGAATGACAGACCTGTGTGTTGACAGACCCATTTTCTCTACCAGTGCAAACACCAGAAAGCCTGGGGAAATGAGTATCTTCTTTATGTAATACTCATTCCACAAATATGTATTACTATGTGCCAGGCACTATTCTAAAAGATGTTGTGGATACAATCTTTTCTTACAAAGAGTTGAGGTCTTCAGAAATCAGAAAAGGGAGATGAAAAGGTGGAGGAAATAAGCAGGTCCACACACTGAGTGCCCACTGTGTGCCAAACATTGCACAAAGTCTGGGAAAACCACTCAGAAGTCAGCCTGTTACAACAAGAAACGTAAGATGACTGGAGTCAGAACGACCAGTGTTGTAATCTCATCTCTGCCATTTCGTGACCTGGGGCGAGTCATCTCCGAACCTCTGTTTCCTTGTTTTTAAGTCAAGGATAATGCCAAACTCCCTTCCCAGGATAAAAATGAGATAGCCTACGTAAAGAAGCTTAGTGCAGTCTCAGGTGGAAGTAGACCCTCAATAAAGGACAGCTATGCCTATTATGAAGAGAAAGTGCTACTTTGTTGAGATTCCACAGCCACAGTTGTTCAGGAATGGGAAGAACCCAAATCCTACTTCAACGGGGTCAGGAAGTAGTTGAGCTCCTGGAAGGAAGCATAGTAGTGTCACTCACCAGGACTCAGAAACATCTATATGCTGCATAGGTCTGGGCACCTGGAGGTTCCAGAGCCTCTAAGGAGGATGAGGAAAGAAGACAATATTGCTGTCAGGCTTCCCTGAGCTCCACAGAGATAAATAAACATTAAAAGCCCCTGATACTTCAGCTATGAACAGCTGGGGCATCTCCCCTAGGTGTACCACTGAGCTTTGAGGGTAAAAAGCCAGGCAAACATATTGTGTCTTCAGAGCCCATACCTCTGGTCAGCATTCCCAACCTCAGGGCCTTGAGCTTCACGATTTCCAGGGTCTTCACACTATATCCACCTCTATCTAACCTCCGAAGGGAGGGCCCCAGTCTTCTCAGGGCTCTTTCCTTCCTCTGTATCTAGTGACTCACTGGTACCTTGTCCCTGCTCTCAGAAAAGCAGCACTAGGAGATATATGTTCACCAGGGTGGCACTCCCTGTGAGTTCTTCCTTGTTGTCTCCCACTTGCAGAGGTTAGAGAGCTTCTCTTGCAGCTGAAAGTGGCCAGCGAAATCGAAGGAGACATCTGCTGGGGATTTTCTGGAAAATCCTTTGCTTTCCTGATAAAAGTAATAGAAACAGTTGGTGCCACTCCATTTCCTTCTTCCTACCTTGACTAGTTATGTAATACCTAGAGTTGCAGCAACTACTTTGTGACCTCAAGGTGATAGTCATGAGGACGAAAAGCTAAGATGCTAAAGATGATGAAGGAGCTCACATCCTTGATGATGCTGTCAGGATGACATATCAGCACAGAGACTGCCTGTTCCCTAATGCTTGTTCGTAAACAATAAAGGCTCCTATATCAAAAGCCAACGTTAGTTGAGTTTTCTATCTCTTGTGAACAAAAGTATTTCCAACAGGTAACATCAGATAGACTAGGGATTGAAACATGGAATATTAGAGAAGATGAGGCTTAGAGATGGGGTGACCAACTTGTTCTGTTTGCCCAGGACTTTCCTGGTTTTAACACTGAAATTCGCACACCCTGGTAACTCCTTCAGTGTCAGGTAAGCCAAGAAAGATTGGTCACCCTTCTTAAAAATAGCTTCAATTCATTGATGAAAATGCAAAGACCTAAGGAAATCCTAAGGAGGAAAGAGGTTTGCCCAGGATAACACAGGTGATGGCCAAGGCCAGATCATAATCCAGATTCCTGACTCTAAATGCAGGGCTCTTTAGTCATGTTACAAATCGCTGTGAATGTGTTGTCCTTCCTAAGAAACAAAATTACCAAAATTACCTCCTTCCAGTTGAAAGCATGTGACTCTCTGAGACTCATAATTAGGATCCGCTTCAGTCTGGTGTTCAAGATGTAGCTTCTGTGAATGCTGATGAATTTAGGGGAATGAGGCAAGGCTTGCATCTGCGAAGAGCACCAGAGCAAAGTTGGAGGGAGTAAGACCACCTCCTGGCTTCTGGAATGGGCTGGGGCAGGCACAGAGCCTTCAGTCATGAGGTGTCCTGCTTCTTGGTGATAAGTGGTTGCAGGAGAATTAATGTTAATATCAGTTAATAGTCACAGGAGATGAGAGGCAATGAGTCAGCCCTCTGCTCTTCATGGTTTCAGATTCAACAAAGACTTATTGGGGGCTGACTGAGAGGTGAACACTGGGGCTAGTGGTTTCACCATGTCATTGCACTTAGTTTTCAAAATAGTCCTATGAGATAGGTACAACTGTGTTATCCCCACCTTGTAGATGCAAATATTTCCCCGAAGTCACACAGCTTGGTAACTGCAGACTCACAGT